TACTGTAGAACTGAATAGCACTATAAGATTGCGCTCTGAGATTCAAGATTCAGAAAGTGATGCTCCCCATGGTATGCTCTAACAAACTCAAAGCATTCAAGGGAAAAACCCGGAGATTTCGCAAAGCAATTCGTCCATGAAAAATTACTCGCAGAACACTCGTCCAGGTTTTTTTCGAAAGTAATTTATGAACAACTAGCGCAAGTGCAATGAAAATAAATTGTGCTACCCACCTTTTTGCACTTATTGCATCTAGTAGCGAATTTCTCTTCATAGCATGATCCACAATAGACTTCTTCATTTTTCGGGATAAACGACTTGGTTCCAATAGGATTTTTGCAATGTGCACAGCAGAAACATTTATCATGCCATTGTTTTCCTTTGTATTCCATCTTTTTCATACCTAAATGGGAAATTTTGTGAGCAGATAGAATTGAGTGATTAAGATTGTAAGATGGCAAATTTTTTTTTAATTTTAAGGATCAGGCATAAATGAGATGATGCCAATCTTTTGTTTAGAAAAGAATAATTTTGAGAAATCTTAAGATGAGCAGATTTGAAGAAAGGCTGAGCACAGACTATGCTTTTTAGAAGAAGTATAACAGCTGAACTATGCGTATTTGCTATTCTGGCTGTTTTGGCATGTCCGATACTAATCGCATGTACTACGACCCTATCGCAGATGACGCGTCAAAAGCGCTAGAAAATTCCATTAAGGAGCGGGAGGAAAACTCGTACTATCGCGAGCAATTCTCAAAAAGGCCACAAACCTAACTTCGCCGCAGGGTTATCTTGAGAGAAATTGGTTCATGAATGATTAATATGACATGGGGTTCATTCATGCATTATTTGATTGGTCATTGTTGACATGGCATCGTAAACAGTGTGTTATATAATTGCTTTTTAGGTTTTTCATAAAGTCAGCAAAATCTAAAAGAAAACCCTTTTTTCATGACGCCAAATTGGCAAATTTTCCCAGTTTCTTCTGCTTATGATGTAGAAACAACACTTTTTCAAAAATCTTTTTCAAAACTCTAAAATGGTTGTAGGTATACTGAATGTAAGCTGGATACTTCTGAAAGATTTACACTATGAATTCTATCAAAATGAGTTATATTCCCAAAGATTTTACTTGGCATCAAAGAAATATGTTATTTTATGTGATTTCACTCAAGATTCAACAATCGCAATTTTGAAAGCTCAGAAACCACGGTTTGTAAAATTCATTAGATGCGCTGGACATAGTTTTCAAATGGCATCGCTCGGGTTGAAATGGACTGCAATTCCATTAGGGCTCATATAGACAGTTTTTGTCAGAATGTTTACAGTTATAAATTCAAAGAATATTTACGAAGATGCAGCGAGAAATCGCATCTCAAATGTTGCGCACAGCACTCAGAGCATCTTGAGATTAAGGGATATAAACATTAGAAAGATTGTAAAGGAGAGAGAAGGATGAAGTATAATTCCGTTTTGGGAGAAAATTCGTAAAAAAGAACTCCCATTTGCTGATAAAATGATTTTCAATTTCATTTCCTCCCAAAAACTATTATTTGCAGAAAAATTCAAAAATTATGC